ACAAAACTCAAATTTGAAAAAATCACCAATTTCAATTTTGCTTTAAAAAAGCAATTGTTCTATATCTATGTTAAGTGCATGAAAAGCACATTAGGAAACCGAAAATATTAACCCTCTAGGTTAATTAGGTCACGTGCTAGAGCAGTCCAAAGTTGCGAATTTGGCTTTTTACGGATAGCTATAAAACCGGATGTACATGTCGGAGGTCAAAGGTCAAAGTATCAAATGATAGCCAAGGTCAATGACCTTTGACCCTATGAAGGTCAAGGTCATCAAAGGTCAAGGTCACATGGTGTGATCGTTTAAAGCATGAAAAAATTTCAACCGGAAGTTGCAAAAAAGCAAAAGCGAAATTCAAAATTCGGCTCCCAATGTTTTTTGCGCAATGGATTGCAGAATACATTCACATCAAATTTGAGCATATCAACATTTACCCTGAGGCCCCATTTTGAATTTTACAAAAGTGTGTTTTTTCAATATGGCGGCCAAAGTATCACTTCCGGTCTGGATTTTATTTTCTTCGTTTTTTTGTATTAGCATTTACTTACGATCAGCATAAATTTCGTTGACCTATTTCAATTACACCGGAAGTTATTCGACCGGAAGTGGATTGTACTTTCAATTGATTCCCCGTTTAAAACCGGAAGTAAAATTAAATATTTGACAACTACATATTATTTGCTTTAGTGATGTTCCTTTGCATATTAAATTTCAGATCAATCGATGCAAAAGCAAAAAAGTTGCAAAAAAATTGAAAAATTTGATCGAAAAAAGTGAGCGACGAATTTTCGAATTTCGTAATTTTTCAAGTGCTATCAGGTCAGAAATTACAGGTAGATTGTAAAAATGAAAACCCGAAGAAAATTGATGCAAAAATACGCCTTCTAGAGCCGATTTTCGACTTTTTGCACATGTTGAACTGTGGCACTTCCGGTTTTGCAAAAATGTTCCAATTTATATTTATGCACATTGTCTCCTATATAGAAGGTCTATGAAATTTGAAACGTACCTGCAACTACTGCAGTCTAAGCTCAGGAAGGTGTGGACGAAACGAAAAAAAAAAAAAAAAAAGAATTGACATTTCGATAACAAACTGGGACTTTGCTTAAAGCAAAGTCCCACAATAATAATAATAATTTATTTCTATAGCGCCTATAATCCAGCAAATGCTGCTCCATGGCGCTGTTGTACAATATGGTATATTACAAATCAACATAACATACATAGAGAAACAAACAAACAATGAAATTTCAAGACCTATCAACCGAAGATAACATTACAAGCAATAACATACATTAAGAAAAATACTGTATAAATAGTTCAGTTTTAAGTTGTTTTTTAAAAGATGACAAGGTGGCAATATTTCTGAGATTAGCAGGTAAATTATTCCATAGATAAGGAGCAGCATATGAGAAGGCACATTTACCGGTTTTTGAGATGGGCTCAGCTATCTCGAGAAGGTTAGATTGTCGAGAGCGTAGATTACGTTCAGGACGATACGGCTTAACAAGGTCTTTCAAATATTGAGGAGTATTTTCTGCATTTAAGCTTGAATATGTCATTGTTAAAATTTTAAATTCAATTTTTTTATGTATGGGGAGCCAGTGTAAATTCTTTAAGACAGGAGTAATATGTTCGCGGAGCTTAGTTCTTGATACTATTCTGGCTGCTTTGTTCTGAATTTTTTGAAGTTGGCAAAGTTGGTCCTTAGAGATATTAAATAAAAGAGAATTACAATAATCTTATCTGGAAGTGACAAGAGAATTCACAAGCAACTTAGCGGTTTCATTATTGATCATGTTCCTAATTTTACCAATGTTATACAAATGAAAGTTAGTAGTTTTACAGATATAATTAATATGAGAGTCCATCGACAGATTGTTATCAAAAAATACACCAAGATTCCGAACAGATTGTGAGTATGACACGTTGGATTCGCCGATATGTACTGAATTCCTTGATGTGTTAGCCAAGTTTTTTCTAGTTCCCATTTTCAATAGTTCTGTCTTATCGTCATTTAGTTTTACGAAATTATTCTTCATCCAGAGTCTTATCTGCTCCACACATTGTTCAAGATTACCCAGCTGCTCACTTTCATTCAGTCGGTTTAAAGATAAATACAACTGGGTGTCATCAGCGTATAAATGATATCCAAGATTACAGTTTCTTATTATGTGTCCAAGAGGTGATGTATAAGCTGAGAATAGTAGAGGACCAAGAACTGATCCTTGTGGGACGCCAAACATAAGTACAGTCGGGTCAGAAGCACTATCTCCAATCACTATTGACTGAGTCCTGTCATGTAAATATGACTTGAACCATTTCAGAGCATCACCTTTAATGCCAAACCTTTCTTGTAATCGAGTTAGTAAGATGGATTGGTCTATAGTATCAAATGCGGCACTGAGATCCAGTAACACTCATACTGCAACATTTTTCTGGTCAACAATATTAGTTAAGTCGTTATGTACTCGTAGCAGAGCAGTCTCTGTACTGTGGTGTTTCTTGTAAGCTGATTGGTACACTTCGTTTAGATTGTTGGAAACGAGATGGTCTTTAAATTGAAGAGAGATAACTTTTTCTATTAATTTAGACATAAACGAAAGATTGGAAACCGGTCGATAGTTTTTAAGAGTTTCTCTGTCAAGGTTAGATTTCTTTAGTAGAGGGAACACAGGAGCTTCTGAAAGACATACCACAACGACTGATGACTCCGCAACAGCTTCAGAGATGGCACCTAGCAGGTCGCAATGTCCTAATTTGTAGTCAATCCAAATTTCTATGCCAGCTGCCGTGATCCTCTCGACAATTTTCTTCACCATTCCCGTATCCTCTTTGTTGTAGTTGATCAAAATATGGCGTGTTTTGGAAATTAGTCTCGATGGAGGTTCCGATTCGGGATTCAAGTTTGCTAAAAGACCTTGCAAATTGTTTTTAATCTCAGGATCCTTTTCTAACTTTTCTATAGTTGCCAAACAAGGATATAAGTTTTTATGCTGTCGAATTGCCTCTCGTCCCTTTGGGTTGAAACTTATATTGTACAAACATATTGTGGTACGTAATCTTTCCTCTCTGTCTGGGGCTTTCAACATTTTAAAGAAGATGTCTAGAATATTAGTTTTAAGAATAGCTACGATATCACCGTCAATTGTAAGTTTGTTGAGATACAAAACTAAATCCGAGGACATATACCGTTCCTTGATACGATTAATGTCATCTCTACCAACAGCCAAAGACATTAAACGAACAATGTATTGAAAGGTGTCCAGCCCAGCGGTCAGTTCCTTGGCTTGTTTTTCTGTAGCAATCAAAGCCATGGTATAGTATACGTGATCAACTTGATATCCTTTTTGTCAATGTCTGAATACCGTTTCACCAGGTTGAAGACGTCCATGTCATGAAAACGTGGGACGGTATGTTTATAAGTTGCTATATTCCTCAGTACACTGATGGTCGACATAATTATATGTTCTTTGTCTTTGCTTTTCATCATTTCTGTGGGTGTGTTATGAGGTTGAGACAAAAAGTCACACACTTCCTCTATGAGACCATTGTCTTCTCCAGTATCAGTAAGATCTCTCGACAGATTCTCGCTGTAGCTTGTATAAGCCCATAAAACATGCACTACCAGTCTTAAAGTCTTAAAGATTACTGATTTGCACGTGTCTTTGTCCTTCAAGGCAGCAAACATGCGGATGGCGTACGATGCATATCCGCACCTCCACAGCTCCTCGGCGACATCTTTTCTATATTTAGCTTTGTTGAAATATAAGTCCAAAATGGCAGTTAATTGTTTACAGATCTTTGTAGGCTGGTCACAAAAATTTTTTAACTGACTTACCGAAGTGGCCACTTTATTCAGAACTTTTTTACATTCTTCGCTTTGTTCTATTTGTGTCTCTTCGAAAAATGCTGAATCGTAGGACACTACGCTTACAGTGTCCTCGTCAACAGACGAACTGCTAAGACTAAACTTTTCACGTCTGCTTTCCATATTAAAGTTAACAGAATTATCCTATCAGATGTTCTATCAAGGACACGCAATTCCATGAATGAAACAGCACATTTAATTGAATGACACAAGCGTGATTGTATACAATTCTCAAGGTTAGATTTCTTTATTAGAAGGAACACAAGAGCTTCTTTCATAATTTTCGGTACAGATCCTGTCATTACTGAAGTATTCACGATATGTGTGATTACGGGAATTAATTCATCAAGGCATTGTTTTAAAAGGCGCGTCGGAATGGGGTCAAGATCACACGATGCTGAAGAAGATGACAGTATAATTTTCTTGATTTCATCTTCAGAAGTTGGCTTGAATTCTGACAAGGAAGTAATATCAGTGGGAATTTTATCGGTTTTCACACTCGTTTCACTCGAACTTATACTAGCCTCTAAACCAGATCTTATCGTGCTTATTTTGTCATTAAAAAAGTTGGAAAATTTCTCAGCCAATGGTTTAGCATTTTCGAATGAAGGAAGAACAGAAGTTTCAGTAGGTCCTTTTCACTATGTTATAAATGTTTTTAATATTATGGGCGTTTTCTTGAATTCCCTTGAGAATAAAGTCCTTCTTTGCCCTGCAGATAAGATTTGTAGTTTTGTTCTTGGCTGTTTTAAAAATCTGTTTATCAATTTCTAATTTAGATTTTCTCCAAATTTGTTCTTTTTTCCGTCGATCCTTCTTGCTCTTGCGAACTTCATCAGTAAACCATTTCCGGCCGGGTCTGATAACCAGTTTCTTTTTGGTTAACGGTGCATGTCTGTCTAATAGTTCACGAAGTACATTGTTGTATACTTGAATTTGACTCTCCACATCTTCTAGCTGCAAAACGTCATTCACAAGATTGGAATCCAAAATGTCACACTTAAACTGTTCAATATCTATGTTTCGGGTTTTCCTGAAACTTCGAAATTCTGTCACTGGTTCAGCTTTATGAATAACGATCTGATTTAATATGCAAAAATGATCAGAAATTAGATTGTTTATCACTTTGGTGTTATGGAGAAAGGTTTCATCCGATTTTGTTATAACTACATCCAAGATGTTTCCTTTATTGTGTGTAGGTTCGCTGATATGTTGAGTCAGTTGAAAAGTGTCCAGTAAATTGTAGAATTTATTGGTATCAATGTTTTCTGCTTTATTTAGATGAAGGTTTAAGTCACCAGTTATGATTAAACGTCCAGGTGCTGTGGAAAGATCATGTAGAAGGTCAGAAAACTCATCCAGAAAAACATTTACTGGAATTTTATTGGCACTTGAATATGGAGGGCGATACAGACTTACGAGCCGAATAATTGTGTTCTTACATTTTATAGAAATCTGCAGAATTTCAAAGCTGGTATAATTATTGGAGGGAATGGTAATCACGTTCAGAGTCTTTTTGTAGAAAACGCCCAGACCTCCGCCTCTGCGACCAGGCCTGTTTGCTAACTCTGCTTTGTAGTTATCAGGTAAAAGTTCTGTAAGTACTGAACTGTCATCAGATTGAAGCCACGTTTCAACTGCGATGAATATATCCAAATCATTATCAATAATGAATTCTTGTAGATCATGAGTTTTGTTGCAAACAGATTGACAGTTTAAAAGACCAAAGGTAAAGTCATTATTGGAGGCCTTATTAGATGAGATTATCTTATTAGGTGTGTTTTCTGTTTTGACAGTCGTAAGATTGTTGTAATTAACACCTTGTATAAGTTTCTTTGAGATTATCCTGTCTTGTGTTGTTATTGTTTTTATACGCCTCACTAGTTTCGTTCCTGCTCTAACACCTCTCGCACTAAAACAATGTGAATCTTGAAGCGGATCACTGGGTTTGAATAGACTATTGTAATATGACACCTGGTAATTATCCCTGCTGTTATTGACCATAGTTTACAAAATCATTTCAGTTCACAGAAATTCAGAATATGTTAATTAAAATTATGCGTATTCCTCCAAAGATACAATTTCAATTCCAAAATAAATCCTCACAAATTGTTAAACATGACATAAAGCAACACTTTGCAAAAATCCAATAAAATAGAATCAACGATTAAGTAGAAAATATAAAAACTAGAGAGAGCTCCTAAAACACGACCAGCTGCCTCTAGGCGCATATACATTATTGACACAGGAGAAATCAAAGTCAAACATAAGGGTAATTGAATATTTTTAAAAAACATACGCACTGGAGAAGGAATATATCTTTCGAAGTATAAAGGAGAAGGAGTTATTTTTGGAACAAATTAAAATAATAAAAAATGGGTAAAAAATTTAATCATTCACAAATATTTCCTAATAACCCATTGCTCATGTGTATATGCGGTAGTTCCGGTTCTGGGAAAACTCATCAACAGATAATGGAGTTACATTCAAAACCATACGTTTACTACCAGGAAGCTACGAAAACATAGCCATTAACGAATACTTATCTGAATACGCAGGAAGCGTCAATGGTAAAAACAATATCGAATTCGAAGGTAATTTGAATCTAAACAAAATAAAATTGATATTAAGAAATAATTGTCAAGTTGATTTCAATGTAGAAAATTCATTGAATACTTTACTAGGCTTTGATAAAAAAAATATACACCCAATCCACTTTAGCACCACTCAAAGCTAATATCGAGAATGATATCGATGTGATAAATATACATTGCAATTTAATAAACGGTGGATTTTTCAATAAATACAAACGTCAGATTATTTACAGTCTTCCAACATTTACTGTACCGATAGGATATAGAATTATAGAGAAACCATTTCAAACGACGTATTTACCACTTAATTCCTTTATGATTAAAGATATAAATCTGGAAATCAAAGATGGTAAAAATAGGTTTATAGATTTTGGTAACGAGAAAATTGTTATTCAACTTCATTTAAAACAAAAAAACTAAATTCATTCTGATGGATCATCAT